AAGAAACATTCCATGCATATTTTTGAATTTCCCTGAAACCACATCCTTCTTCAATGCACCACGGTGGTAGAATTCAATGATTTCGCTGTGTAGGTCTGGAAAATCAGGATGCCAAGGGATTTTGTAGCACTTTTTGAGACTAAATTAAAGAAAGAAGCTGGCAGCGTGAGCTTTCGGAGGCTTCCTCAGACTCAAGTCTAGGAAAGCTCAAGCTCCCAGCTTTTTTCTTTAATTTATTATTATTATTATTATTATTTAGTCACAAAAAGTGCTACAAAATCCCTTTGCGTACTGGAAGGCCCCACTGTGGTGTCCTGCCATTCTCTCAGCCAGAAATAGATATATGTAATAATGCACACAGAGTCCTAGAGCTGGGAGGGATCCCCAAGGGTCATCTAGTCCATCCCATGTTCCAGTGCAAGAATAATCTCTGACATAAGTCCATCCAATCTCTCCTGAAAAAGCTCTAAGGAAGCGATGCCCACTTGGATGATACTGCCTTGCAAAACCATCTAGCCCATTCGCCTGTCCAGAGGAGCTTCACATGCAAACCCATCCACTCATTGCGGCTGAGTGCACCTGACCCTTGCAGAGGTCCTCTACTCCAATGCCCATCTTCCACAAGAATGCAGTCCGCGGAGGAGGTGGCCATCACACCAAAACCCAGCCTCACCAGCCATATCATGCTAGGTTGGTATGATGTTTTAATGTTGTTAACCGCCCTGATTGGGTTACCAAAGGGTGGTATATAAATTATTATTATTATTATTATTATTATTATTATTATTATTATTAGGTCAATGGTGGTCAATTCATGCTGGACCCAGTGTGGCGTAGTGGTTGGAGCATTGGACTACGACTCTGGAAGACCAGAGTTCGATTCCCAGCTCAGCCATGGAAACCCACTGGACAATCTTGGCCAAGTCACACTCTCTCAGCCTCAGGGGATGGCCATGGTAAACCCCCTCTGAACCAATCTTGCCAGAAAACCCCAGGATAGGTTTGCCCATAAGTCAGAAACAACAACAAACAAACTTCAATTTATTTTTTAACTTTCGTAATCAATGTTTTAGCTTTGTCTTTTTAATATACTGTAACCCTCCTTGAATCCCATTGAGGGAGAAAGCTGGGATATAAATCCTAGAAATAAATAAAATAAATAAAATAAATAAACAAACAGCCCAGTGCTGCCCACTCTGGCTGGCAGTCTCCCCGTGGAGAATTGAGGTTGAGAGAATGTGTCCTGCATCCAGTGAATTAGCTGTCAAACCCTCAAGACTCAATGCACTACACCACCCATGGGGCTGGGGGCTACTGCCTTCTAAACCATCCACCATCTGGCCCATGCAGAGGGGCTCACAAGCAAACCCACCAGCAAGGGAGACTCGACTCTACTTGCCATCATCCCCATGAGTGCCAGTATGGGGAATGTAGTACTCCCCTCACCCCAGATCCAGATCATGCCAGGTCAATGGTGGTGATTTCACTTCCCATCATCCCCAAGTGCTCAGTTATGGGGAATGCAGTACCCCCCTCCCCAGATCCAGTTCATGCCAGGTCAAATGGTGGTGACTTCTACTCCACTTCCCATCATCCCCAAGAGTGCAGTTACGGGGAATGCAATGCCCCTCTCTCTCCAGATCCAGTTAATGCCAAGTCAAATGGTGGTGACTTCTATTCCACTTCCCATCATCCCCAAGTGCCCAGTTACGGGGAATGCAGTACCCTCCCTCTCCACATATTTAGATCATGCCAGGTCAATGATGGTGAGAACTTCTACTCCACTTCCCATCATCCCCAATGCCAGGTCAATGATGACTTCTACTCCACTTCCCATCACCCCCAAGAGTGCAGTTACAGGGAAATGCAGTCCACCCCTCTCCCCAGATCCAGATCATGCCAGGTCAATGGTGGTGACTTCTACTCCAATTCCCATCATCCCCACGAGTCCAGTTACGGGGAATGCATTTCCCTCCCTCGCCCCAGATCCAGATCATGCCAGGTTTCAAATGGTACTGACTTCTACTCCATTTCCCATCATCCCCAAGTCTCCAGCTACAGGGAATGCAGATCCAGATCCAGATCCAGTGGTGGTCGATCCAGGGGGCAGTGGTGCCCAGTCGGTTCCCAGGAGGAAAGGAGAGAGAGCCTTACCTTTGCTTGGACTCCTTGGGCCAGAGTCGCTGGGGGGACTCGAACCCAGGACCTTGAGGGTTCCCGGGCTCCGCGAAGCCAAAGGGGGATCTATGGCTCGGGAAGGAGGCCCCGGTCTACCCATCCGCAGTGCGCTCTGCAAGCGCAGCCGCCTCCGAAGGCAGGGAAGGCGGGGAAGGGCCGGACCCTCCCTCCCTCGGCTCCCCCTCCGAGGAAAAGCCCTGCCCCGGCCTCCTGCCGCCCCCTCCAACCCTGCCGCCCGAGGCACACTCCTTCTGCCTTTTCCTTGGAGAGCTTTTGGGCTTTCCTGGGGACCCCAGAGTTCCAGCAGAAGACCTCCCAGACCTGGAACACCTACCTCCTAAGGAAGATCCAAGGAGAAAGTGCAAAGGCAGGCTTTAATGGAGTAGTGGAGTCTCCTTCCTTGGAGGTCTTTAAGCAGAGGCTGGA